TGCTCAAATCCTCCAGTACCTCTTTGTTTTGACTAGCCAAATTCTCATTTTCCTCAAATAAGCACTGGTAATCATACTTGAGCTCCAAATGAGCTTCCAACAGAAGAGTCCATTTGTTGTATAGAGTATCATACTCCTTTTTCTTGTTCTAGATCATCTTATTTGCTTTCGTGAACATGACCCATGATTGCCATGAACACGCCATAATTGTTTATTACTTCACTTTTGGGTTCTTCCTCTACTTCATCATCACTCTAAGCGATTATCAAGGACTTCTTAGACTTGGTTTTTAGGTTTTCACAATCAGCTTTAATATATCTGTAACCTCCACACTCCTTGCACTGAACACCCTTGTGATTGAAGTCTTGAGGCGTGCCCTCAAGTTGCACAGTGATACCTTTCGGTTTTTGCGAGGAATTTCCACTCGAGTTTTTATTGGTAGCTCCTTTGTTTTGGCCTCTAGTACGATACTTCTTTAGAAATTTTTTGACTAGTCTGCTTATCATAGCCATGGCATCCTCTTCATCAACTCTGTCAAAATAAAGGTCCTTGAACTGGACTACAATACTAAAGACAACACTTTTTTCTTTTTCTATTTCCATTTCAAAAGTCACCAGATTCCCCATTAGTTGGTCCAGTTTGAGCTCATCTATCTTGTGAGATTGTCTTATTGCTTTAGCATCCATTTGAAATCTCTGGGGCAACGATCTCAATACTTTTCTTACTAGTTTCTCTTGGTTGAAAGGCTCCCCTAAGTTAGCTGCTTCATTTGCCAGACCTTTCAGTTGAGCATTATTAAAGTCATAAGTCTTCTAGTTGATATATATGGTTAATTCCCGTGTATATAGAATGTATATTGTACCGTATGTAATATGTATGAATAATATAGTAGACAAGGGGATGTAGCTCAAAGGATCTTTCATTTATTTTTGTTCTTCCCTCATACATACATGGCAACTTCTTTCTATATACAAAATGAGCATACCAACAATAGAAATTAAAGAACCATACAAGGAAATGAAGAATATATATAAAAATTGTCTCAGAGATGGTAACAAGTATTTTGACAATAAGTACAACTAACTTTAATAAAACTCACACTTCCCTTCTTACATAGGCCCTCAAACATAATTAATCCCTAGACATCAACCATCATTTGGACTTAATTAATCCCTAGACCTCAACTCCTTGGGTCTAATTGGCTTTGAACCTCAAGCTCATTCCCCGGTCAATATTTATTTGTATGCACAATTATAATACTACTGATGTTGTTGTTGTTGTTTTTATTAATTAGATTAGGTATTGATTAATTTTCCTTTAATTTCAAGTTTGATACTCTCATTATCACATTTAACAGGGCGTTTGGTTAGAGGGAGGAAATTAGGTAGGAAATTAAGGAATTGTAATTTCATGGGAGATGAATAATGTGGAAATAAAATGGTAATGTAAATTCTTGAGTTTGGTTTGCATGAATAGAATTACTAGAAATTTCAATTCCAATGTTTGGTATACATGGGAATTGAAAAGAAATAAGTAGTATAAAGTCCAAAATACCCATACCTATTATTGTTTTTGTTGGTTTGCATGAATAAAATTATTGGAAATTGCTTTTGTTGAGAGTTGAACTAAAAACCTCCCGCTTGATACAAGAGTTGAACGAAACCAAAAGATCTCCTGGCTCATGATGTGGCACGAGTGTCTATGAACTACATCAATTTTTTTTTTTTAATTCCAATTTGAATTTTAATATTCCAATACTTTTATTAATTCTATATATTATATTTAATCTTGAATTTATAAGTTTATAATACTTAAATTTAAGAATTATTTCATCCATATTTTTATTTTTTATTTGTAATTATTGTACTTTGGTAGTGTACTTTCAAGTTGCTCTTGTTCAAAGTTGAACTCAAGACCTCCCGCTTACTAAACGGGTGCTCTAACCAACTGAGCTACAAGAGCTAAGTAATTAATTTAAGAAACTCTCACATCTTGAGAGAACGAAACCAATGTGCGGACTTTCTTGCCAACTTGGTCCAAGTGCGCGAATATGGTACAAGGAGTGGTCACATGACGACCTAGAAGATCTCTTGACTCAAGATGTGGCAGGAATGTCTACGATAAGAATCAGATAGCTATTAGGACAAAAGGTTACGATCCCTTCGAGGCACCCGAAAAAACAAAAAAAAAAAAAAAAAAAAAAAGGAAGAGAGGTTGTTGTTACATTTGTTAAAATGAACTACATTAATTTTTTGTTTAATTCTATATATTATATTTAATCTTGAATTTATAATTATTGTAGTCATGTTGTGTACTTTCGAGTTGCTCTTGTTGAGAGTTGAACTCATGACCTCCCACTTACAAAATAAGTGCTCTAACCAACTAAGCTACAAGAGCTAGACATTAAACTTGAGAATCTCTAACGTTATTAAAGAACGTAACCAATGTTACAAGGAATGGTCACATGACAACTTGGAAGATCTCTTGACTCATAATGTGGAAGGAGTGTCTATGATAAGAATCATATAGTTATTAAGACTAAAGGCGGAATTTCTTGGCAACTTGGGCATTGTGCGCGAATGGGGTACAAAGAGAGGTCACATGACAACTTGAAAGATCTCATGACTCATTATGTGGCAGGAGTGTGTATGATAAGAATTAGATAGTTATTAGGACTATAGGCTACGATCCCATTGAGGCAACCAAGAAAAAAAAAGTTGTGGTTACATTTGTTAAAATGAGGTACATCAGTTTTTATTTAATTCCAATTGGAATACTGCATTACTTTTTAATTCTATATATTTAATTCCAATTGGAATATTGCATTACTTTTTAATTCTATATATTATATTGTAGACTTGTTGTATAATTTCAAATTTGTAAATTGAAATTGAATATTGACATCAAGACCTCCCGCTTACTAAACGGGTGCTCTAACCAACTAAGCTACATGAGCTAAGCGATTTGTTGGTTTTAGGGTTTTTGGGCCCAGGGAGGTCCAACAAAACCTTAGTCGGTGGATTCACCTTTCAATAAAAGAACTCTCTTTCGAGGAAAAAAATAGCAGAATGGTGTCTTTCTTATAGCCTGGGCATGGACTCGCCCCTTTTCACAATGGCGGAGGGGCCTTTATATAGTAGGCCCTCCTTCAACCGAGTTGAAGTACATTGAAGGCTGCTTTTAAAGCTAATTACATTTTAGGGCCGTAGGGTGCCGTTCTCGGGCTGACCAACGGCTCTTTTGGGTTCCATAACGGTTCGCTTGGTCGAGCCCTTTAAATGCCGCGATAAATGCCACTCAGCGGCCCCTTGCCGAGTCTTCTCTTCACCTGGGCCTGGACCGACTCCTGGACTCGGCCCAGACCTCTACTGGGCCCTACTTCTAACCCATATTCTTGCCTGTTGGGCCGCTACTTACCCACTCTGGACTCTCCCCCATCCTGGGCCTCTTCTCATGGGCCCGCCTTCTTGGGCCAGGGTCCACACCCCATCACGATTAATTTGAGAAACTCTCACATTTTGAGAGAATGAAACTAATATCCGGACTTTCTTGCCAACTTGTTCAAATTGTGCGAATGGGGTACAAGGAGTGATGACAACATAGAAGATTTATTGACTCAGGATGTGGCAGGAATGTCAATGTTAAGAATCAGATAAAACAGAGGTTGTGGTCACATTTGTATTTTTTATTTAATTATTGACTCAGGATGTGGCAGGAATGTCAATGTTAAGAATCAGATAAAACAGAGGTTGTGGTCACATTTGTATTTTTTATTTAATTCCAATACAATTCTATATATTACATTTAATCTTGAATTTATAAGTTTTCTATTTGGGATTATTATAGTCTTGTTGTAGTCTTGTTGTGAACGTTCGAGTTGCTCTTGTTGAGAGTTGAACTCAAACCTCCCGCTTACTAAACGGGTGCTCTAACCAACTGAGCTACAATGGGCCAAGTGCGCGAATGGGTTACAATGAATGGTCACATGACAACTTAAAAGATCTCATGACTCATAATGTGGAAGGAGTGTCTATAATAAGAATCAGATAGTTATTATGACTAAACCCTACGATACCTTTGATGCACCCAAAAAAAAAAAAAGAGGTTGTCGTTACATTTATAAAAATGAGGTACATAAATATTGCTCTTGTTGAGAGTTAAATGGGTGCTCTACCCAACTGAGCTACAAGAGCTAAGCGATTAATTTAAGAAACTCTCACATCTTGAGAGAACGAAACTAATATGCGAACCTTCTTGCCAACTTGGTCCAAGTGCGCGAATGGGGTACAAGGAGTGGACACATGACGACTTAGAAGATTTATTGACTCAGTATGTGGCAGAAATGTCAATGATAAGAATAAGATAGTTACTAGGACTAAAGCTTATGATCCCTTTGAGGCACCCAGAAAAAAAAAAAAACAGAGGTTATGGTCACATTTGTTAAAATAAACTACATCAAATTTTTTACTTAATTCCAATTTGAATTTTAATATTCCAATAATTATTAATTCTATATATTATATTTAATCGTAAATTTATATGTTTATAATATTTAATTTAAGAATTCTTTCATCCATATTTTTATTTGTTATTATTGTAATCCTGTTATGTACTTTTGACTTGCTCTTGTTGAGAGTTGAACTCAAGACCTCCCGCTTACAAAACAAGTGCTCTAACCACCTGAGCTACAAGAGCTACGCAATTAATTTGAGAAACTCTCACATCTTGAGAGAACGAAACTAATATGCAGACTTTCTTGCCAACTTGGTCCAAGTGCGCGAATGGAGTACAAGGAGTGGTCACATGACGACATAGAAGATTTATTGACTCAAAAAAAAAAACAGAGGTTGTGTTCACATTTGTATTTTTTATTTAAATCCAATTTGAATTTTAATATTCCAATACTTATTAATTCTATATATTATATTTATTTAATTTAAGAATTCTTTCATCTATATTTTTATTTGTAATTATTGTAATCTTGTTGTGTACTTTTGAGTCGTTCTTGCTGAGAGTTGAACTCAAGACCTCCCACTTACGAAACGGGTGCTTTAACCAACTGAGCTACAACAACTAGGCATTGGACTTGAGAATCTCTCACGTCATTAAATAACGTAACCAATGTGTAGACTTTCTTGCCAAATTGCGCCAAGTGCGCGAATGGGTTACACGGAATGGTTACATGACAACTTGGAAGATCTCTTGACTCATAATGTGGAAGGAGTGTCAATGATAAGAATCAAATAGTTATTAGGACTAAAGGCTGACTTTCTTGCTAACGTGGGCCTAGTGCGCAAATGGGGTACAAGGAGTAGTCACATGACAACTTGAAAGATCTCCTGACTCATGATGTTGCAGGAGTGTGTATGATAAGAATCAAATAGTTATTAGGACTAAAGCCTACGATCCTTTTGAGGCACCCAAAAAAAAAAAAAGGTTGTAGTTACATTTATGAAAATGAGGTACATAAATATTGCTCTTGTTGAGAGTTGAACGGGTGCTCTACCCTACTGAGCTACAAGAGCTAAGCGATTAATTTAAGAAACTCTCACATCTTGAGAGAACGAAACTAATATGCGGACTTTCTTGCCAACTTGGTCCAAGTGCGCGAATGGGGTACAAGGAGTGGTCACATGACGACTTAGAAGATTTATTGACTCAGCATGTGGCAGGAATGTCAATAATAAGAATCAAAAAGTTATTAGGACTAAAGCCTACAATCCCTTTGAGGCACCCGAAAAAAAAAAACAGAGGTTCTGTTCACATTTTTATTTTTTATTTAAATCCAATTTGAATATTAATATTCCAATACTTATTAATTCTATATATTATATTTAATTTAAGAATTCTTTCATCTATATTTTTTATTTGTAATTATTGTAGTCTTGTTGTGTACTTTCAAGTTGCTCTTGTTGAGAGTTGAACTCAAGACCTCTCGCTTACAAAACGGGTGCTCTAACCAAATGAGCTACAAGAGCTAGGCATTGAACTTGAAAATCTCTCACGTCATTAAATAACGTAACCAATGTGCAGACTTTCTTGCCAAATGACGCCAAGTGCGCGAATGGGTTACAAGGAATGGTTACATGACAACTAGGAAGATCTCTTGACTCATAATGTGGAAGGAGTGTCTATGATTAGAATCAGATAGTTATTAGGACTAAAGGCGGACTTTCTTGCTAACGTGGGCCTAGTGCGCGAATGGGGTACGAGGAGTGGTCACATGACAACTTGAAAGATCTCCTGACTCATGATGTGGCAGGAGTGTGTATGATAAGAATCAGATAGTTATTAGGACTAAAGCCTACGATCCCTTTGAGGCACCCAAAAAAAAAAAAAAAAAAGAGGTTGTGGTTACATTTATTTAAATGAGATACATAAATATTGCTCTTGTTGAGAGTTGAATGGGTGCTCTACCCTACTGAGCTACAAGAGCAAAGCGATTAATTTAAGAAACTCTCACATCTTGAGAGAACGAAACTAATATGCGGACTTTCTTGCCAACTTGGTCTAAGTGCGCGAATGGGGTACAAGGAGTGGTCACATGACAACTTAGAAGATTAATTGACTCAGTATTTCGATCCATATTTTTGTTTGTTATTATTGTAATAATCCTTTAATGTACTTTCGACTTGCTCTTGTTAATAGTTGAACTCAAGACCTCCCGCTTACTAAACGGGTGCTCTAACCAACTGAGCTACAAGAGTTAAGCAATTAATTTGAGAAACTCTCACATTTTGAGAGAACGAAACTAATATGCCGACTTTCTTGCAAACTTGGTCCAAGTGCGCGAATGGGGTACAAGGAGTGGTCACATGACGACATAGAAGATTTATTAACTCAGGATGTGGCAGGAATGTCAATAATAAGAATCAGATAGTTATTAGGACTAAAGCCTACGATCCCTTTAAGGCACCAAAAAAAAGAAAAAAAAAAAAAACAGAGGTTGTGGTCAAATTTGTATTTTTTATTTAATTCCAATTTGAATTTTAATATTCCAATACTTATTAATTCTATATATTTTATTTAATCTTGAATTTATAAGTATATAATATTTAATTTAAGAATTCTTTCATCCATATTTTTATTTGTAATTATTGTATTCTTGTTGTGTAATTTCGATTTGAACTCAAAACCTCCCGCTTACTAAACGGGTGCTCTAGGCAACTGAGCTACAAGAGCTAGGCATTGAACCTGAGAATCTCTCACGTCATTAAATAACGAAACCAATGTGCAGACTTTCTTTCCAAATAACGCCAAATGCGAGAATGGGTTACAAGCAATGGTCACATGACAACTTGGAAGATCTCTTGACTCATAATGTGGAAGGAGTGTATATGATAAGAATCAGATAGTTATTAGGACTAAAGGCGGATTTTCTTGCTAACGTGGGCCTTGTGCGCGAATGGGGTACAAGGAGTGGTCACATGACAACTTGAAAGATCTCCAGACTCATGATGTGGCAGGAGTGTGTATGATAAGAATTAGATAGTTATTAAGACTACATATTACGATCCCATTAAGGCACCCAGGGGGGGAAAAAAAAAGAGATTATTGCATTACTTTTTAGTTATATATATATATATTGTAGACTTGTTGTGTACTTTCTAATTTGTAATTTGTAATTTTGAAATTGAATATTGCTCTTAAGGAGAGTTGAACTCAAGACCTTCCGCTTACTAAACGGGTGCTCTAACCAACTGAGCTACAAGAGCTAAGCGATTAATTTGAGAAACTCTCACATCTTAAGAGAACGAAACTAATATGCGGACTTTCTTGCCAACTTGGTCTAAGTGCGCGAATGGGGTACAAGGAGTGGTCACATGACGACTTAGAAGATTTATTGACTCAGTATGTGGCAGGAATGTCAATGATAAGAATAAGATAGTAATTAGGACTAAAGCTTTCGATCACTTTCATGCACCCAAAAAAAAAATAAAAAAACAAAAAAACAAAAAAACAGAGGTTGTGGTCAAATTTGTTAAAATAAACTACAATTTTTTACTTAATTCCAATTTGAATTATAATATTCCAATACTTATTAATTCTATATATTATATTTAATCATGAATTCATATGTTCAATACTTATTAATTCTATATATTATATTTAATCATGAATTTATATTTTCATAATATTTAATTTAAGAATTCTTTGACCAAATTTTTGTTTGTAATTATTGTAATCCTTTTATGTACTTTCGACTTGCTCTTGTTGATAGTTGAACTCACGACCTCTCACTTCCTGCTTACTAAACGGGTGCTCTAACCAACTGAGCTACAAGAGTTAAGCAATTAATTTGAGAAACTCTCACATTTTGAGAGAACGAAACTAATACGCCGACTTTCTTGCAAACTTGGTCCAAGTGCGCGAATGGGGTACAAGGAGTGGTCACATGACGACATAGAAGATTTATTAACTCAGGATGTGGCAGGAATGTCAATGATAAGAATAAGATAGTAATTAGGACTAAAGCTTACGATCCCTTTCATGCACCCAAAATAAAATAAAATAAAATAAAATAATAATAAAACAGAGGTTGTGGTCAAATTTGTTAAAATAAACTACAATTTTTTACTTAATTCCAATTTGAATTATAATATTCCAATACTTATTAATTCTATATATTATATTTAATCATGAATTTATATGTTCAATACTTATTAATTCTATATATTATATTTAATCATGAATTAATATTTTCATAATATTTAATTTAAGAATTCTTCGATCCATATTTTTGTTTGTTATTATTGTAATAATCCTTTAATGTACTTTCGACTTGCTCTTGTTGATAGTTGAACTCAAGACCTCCCGCTTACTAAACGGGTGCTCTAACCAACTGAGCTACAAGAGTTAAGCAATTAGTTTGAGAAACTCTCACATTTTGAGAGAACGGAACTAATATGCCGACTTTCTTGCAAACTTGGTCCAAGTGCGCGAATGGGGTACAAGGAGTGGTCACATGACGATATAGAAGATTTATTAACTCAGGATGTGGCAGGAATGTCAATAATAAGAATCAGATAGTTATTAGGACTAAAGCCTACGATCCCTTTAAGGCACCCAAAAAAAGAAAAAAAAAAAAACTGAGGTTGTGGTCACATTTGTATTTTTTATTTAATTCCAATTTGAATTTTAATATTCCAATACTTATTAATTCTATATATTATATTTAATCTTGAATTTATAAGTATATAATATTTAATTTAAGAATTCTTTCATCCATATTTTTATTTGTAATTATTGTAATCTTGTTGTGTACTTTCGATTTGAACTCAAAACCTCCCGCTTACTAAACGGGTGCTCTAAGCAACTGAGCTACAAGAGCTAGGCATTGAACCTGAGAATCTCTCACGTCATTAAGTAACGTAACCAATGTGCAGACTTTCTTTCCAAATAACGCCAAATGCGAGAATGGGTTACAAGCAATGGTCACATGACAACTTGGAAGATCTCTTGACTCATAATGTGGAAGGAGTGTATATGATAAGAATCAGATAGTTATTAGGACTAAAGGCGGATTTTCTTGCTAACGTGGGCCTTGTGCGCGAATGGGGTACAAGGAGTGGTCACATGACAACTTGAAAGATCTCCTGACTCATGATGTGGCAGGAGTGTGTATGATAAGAATTAGATAGTTATTAAGACTACATATTACGATCCCATTAAGGCACCCAGGGGGGAAAAAAAAGAGATTATTGCATTACTTTTTAGTTATATATATATTGTAGACTTGTTGTGTACTTTCTAATTTGTAATTTTGAAATTGAATATTGCTCTTGTTGAGAGTTGAACTCAAGACCTTCCGCTTACTAAACGGGTGCTCTAAACAACTGAGCTACAAGAGCTAAGCGATTAATTTGAGAAACTCTCACATCTTGAGAGAGCGAAACTAATATGCGGACTTTCTTGCCAACTTGGTCTAAGTGCGCGAATAGGGTACAAGGAGTGGTCACATGACGACTTAGAAGATTTATTGACTCAGTATGTGGCAGGAATGTCAATGATTAGAATAAGATAGTAATTAGGACTAAAGCTTTCGATCACTTTCATGCACCCAAAAAAAAATAA